TTCTAGGTTTCGGACTCAATTAGACGAAAGGAAGGTGTTAGGCACCTTTCATCCACCTTGTTCACAAGGATATTAAACTCTAGGTTTAGGTTTGGGATAAACAGGGTTTTAAGTTTTAATTAGCAAGACTCGCCACGATTTTAGATCGTATGCCTACGTATCCTCTTATGAGGAATCAGAGTCCCAATTAGTAGTTTGTATGGGTTGGTGTCTTTTAGGAGTTTGCAAACATATTTTGAATCACTTTGCACTCGGTCGGGAGTAGTGATTGCGGAGATTTTGACTGAAAACGCAGTAAGCCAAAATTAGTTTGAAACCCGTTTGCAAAAAAGACTGTTGATTAGCTTAGTTTTATTCACGAAAATAGTTTGAAATTTTTTTGTGTTTTTTTATAATATTAATTGCAAAAAGCCTTGATTAATGCATGATAAAAATGTTTTAATGTAAATAATATATAAGATAATATATGTAATTTTAATATGAAAATAATTTATTTGGAGATATTATAATATTTACATATAATAAATAATAGTAATATTTAAAATATGGTAATAAAAATTAATAATAATAATAATTATAAATGAAAAAAAGAATAAGTAATTAATAAGATAAAAAAATGATATAAGAAGAAAATAATTTAAAAAAAATTATAATTTTGGTAAACCAGGGGGGGTGCTTCCAGTTATGTATAAAAAACGGGGGGTGAGGGTGTTGTTTAGTAATTTGGGTTTAGGCCCAAGATAGTCCGGGAAAGGAGGGGGTGCAATCTGCTTTGTGATTTAGCAAATTGTTGAAAGGGCGGTGTGAAGAGCAGCTGGGCTTAGGCCCAACGAATTTGAAGGGGTTTGCTGTGTGTTCCCGTGTGGCAAGGGTGCAGGGACATTATCGTGAATCTCGTACTAAAGGTCGTTTGATTAAAATCACGTGGATGGTAAACGAGGGAGCATGCTATAATGATAGGCGCGTCATACTGGATACGAACGAATTACAAATTTTTTGTTTAACTCATTTTACAGTCATTAGATTTAAAAAAAAAAAAACTCCATCCTCTCTCTCTCTCTCTTGCTAAAAACCTTATCTTCTTCTATCCCTCTTCCTTTGACCTTCTTCTCTGAAACCCTCACCGTACCACCACCGGCGGTGTAGCCTAACTCCTCATCATGACTATCTCAACCCACCCTTCTCTTTCACCCTCTATTCAACCCCTCGAGCCAATGAACAGAAATAACCCAAAAAGGAGAAAACTAAATTGTTACCCTCTTTGCGGTGTTCTACGAGCTTCGTCACACATTCACACCAAATTTGCAAGCTTCCAGTGAGAGCTTTGAAGGTGGTGATGGTGGTGCTTAGCAGCGCCTCACGAGGTGAACAACGGTGGTTCAAGGGCTAGCAATTAGTGTTTCCGATCCGGAAACTCTAATCGCCTCTACTTTTCGTCTTCAACGGTAAAGAGTTCGTCCTCTATTCTTCACTTCACCACTGTCTTTGTCGCCCCTTTCGCATTGTCCTTGTTCTGTCAAAAGGTCACAGTCCTTGCTTTCTGTCCACCCCCACCGCGGTGCTATGTTCTTCCTGTTTATTTATAGTTTAGAATTTATAGGGTTTTGCATTTTTATCGTTACAATTAGTTAGGGATTTTGAGATTTGATTTGATTTGGATTTGTATGATCTTCCATATTTGATGTTGTAATCTGTTTTGTATAATTTTTCCAGATTTGATGTTGTAATCTGTTTTGATTATGTACTTTAATGAGATTCATTTTAATTTCCGATTTAATATTCTGCACAATTTTTTCTTGAGATTTTTCGTTGTAAATTACAAGATTTTGCTGAAGATTTGATTAAGTTAGGTTTTGGAATTTTGGGCTTTGATTTAGATAGGTGTTTGAACTGCAGAAACTGGGTTTAATTTGCTGGAGATTTGATTTTGTAAAAAAAGATTTGCACAATAAATGTTAACTGTAAACGTGCGCATATTTTGGGCATGGATTAAAATAGTACATGTTTGCACTATTGGGCCTAGCACGCCAGCAAAACCTTTCTTTCTAATAATTTTAATTGGGCATGTTTGTTTAATTGCTTCAGCCCAGCAAAATAATCTTTAATTCAGTTGGGGTTTTTTCAAAACAACAATCTTTTTTTTAAAGATTAACAAGAGATCAAAAAACAAGTCTATCAAAAAGATGTTACCTTCCTTCTTCTTTTTTTTAAAACATAATATATTATTTATTAAAATATGAACAATTTTAATGATAAAACATTTGATGGGCCGACAACAATTTCAGCAAATCTTTCCCTTTTAAATTCAAATTGGGCCTTAGTTGGCCTACACAGTAACAAAAGTAATTTCTTTTAAGCGAGCGCTAATAGACTTAGTATTTGTAATTACACCTTCATTTTTTAATAAATAACACTTAAATGCCTTTAATAAATTTAATTACTAATTAATAGCAACTTAAACTTAAGTCGCCTTAATAATTTAATAACTTAGTAATTACTAGTTTCAAAACAAATTTCCATTTTTGAATCCCATGGACCATAGACCAACATGCCTCGCGAATGAGCTTATGAGTCTTTATTATTTAGAAAGTCCCAACTTCCTGAATTTAAAATACACCCCCTAGTCTTGGATAAAGATGAGCCATCAGATACTGTTGTATCCTATTTAATTAAATATTTCTTTATTTCAATAAAATCATTGTAGTGAAACAAATTTGGATTACGATAAGCGACACTATCATATATAGTATGAAATGCAATGAGAAATGCATGAAGCCACAATTTGTGACAAATAAGAGTGGTCTTGCCATCGTAAGATAGGCTATTTCCTTTCCAAGTAGAGAGTTTCTTCCTGATTCTTTCCACCCCAAAATTTAGACTTCTAGTTTCGGATTTCCTAATGATAGTCGGAAGGCCCAAGTAAATTTCAATTTGCTCAACTCTAGGGATACCCAGATGCTTATTGAAAAGCTATCTTTTTATGAAGGGAATGTTTCAACTAAACATCATTTGAGATTTTAGTATGTTTATCTTCTTCCCCGAACTCTCTGATACTTAGTGATGATGTCCCTTAGAGTTTTGACTTCCTGTTCCTTAGCCTAGCAAAATATCAAACCGTCATTTGCAAAAAATAAGTAAGTTATATTAGGCGCCCCTCTAGATAAAGAGATACCATTGAAATTATTATGCCTTTGGGCTTGATTGATAAAGTTAGAAAACACATCAGTGCAAATAATAAAGATATAATGGGAGATTGGGTATCCTTGTCTAATTCCTTTGGTAATTTTATTGAGATCAGTAGGGTTCCTATTTATGAGAATAGAAAGTGAAACCATATTCACACAAGTCATAATAAGTCTTATCATATTGTTATGGAGACCAATGCTTTTAAGGGTTATGTGAATAAAGTTCCAATCCAATATGTCATAAGCCTTGTCCATGTCCAGTTTGATTCCTACAAGCTATTTTTCCCTTCTTCTTGTTTTGTTTATGTGCTCGAATATCTCATAGACCACCATAGTATTATCTGTTATTTGCCTTCCGTTTATGTATGCACCATGGTTGTCTGTGATTTTATCAGGCATGATAGTTTTGAGCCTGTTCGCGATGGTTTTGATGATTTTCATAATCACATTGCACAAAGCAATAGGCATGTAGTTCGTAGGTTTCGAGATGAGGCTAATGTAGGTATTGTTAAATCTTTGAGGATCCTCATGCTTGATGAGAATGTTCATAGTAATATTATGTATATCCTCTCCAATTATGTCCCAGTAGTTATGATAGAATGTGGCTGGTATCCCATCCGGACCGGGGGCAACGTTTTCCTTCATGTTCTTCATGGCATGAATCACCTCTTCTCTAGTATAAGGCTTGTCAAGCTCATTGACCATAATATCATTGCACGTTCTAAAGTTAGTTTGAAAATATTCTTAGTGGATTCTCAGGTTGTCCTCGTTATACCGTTTTTTATAAAGTTGTAGAATAATTCAGTCTATATCTTCTTCCTTATTAATGGTGTCCCTTTAGAATTCTTTATAATTCTGATTCTGCTATGGTTTCTTCTTTGAATAACTTTTTGATGAAAAAATTTAGTGTTTCTATCCTCTTCTTTCAACCAGTGAAATTTAACTCTTTGAACCCACCAGATTTTCTTCTAATGGAAGAACGTGTCGATTTTCTCTTGAATCTTAAGCTTGTCCTATTTTTTTTAATTCTAATTGTTATGATATTTGAGATGTGATTCCAAATTAAAACCTTCAAATATACTAGTATATAAGTTACAATTGGGAAATGTAAGTTTTGTGGTTATATCTTATAATATGAATATGACTTAAAAAAATCCATTAGTTGTATGCTTAAACATATAAAAAAATAATATTTTGTACAAATATACAAATTTATTAATGCAAATACTATTTTTTTATATAACTAGTGAATCTTAATAAATAATGATGTAGGGAGTATAAGTATTTAGTTGAATGTGACAATGTTTACTAGTATTTGTTATTAAAGATTAATTTAGTTTTAACAGAAAAATAGGAAGCAAGTAGTGGCCAAATTGCAATCCATTTCTCTTGAGTAATCCCAAAGGAAGTCTAGGTCTAGGTCTGACACCTTTTACTCCCGCAATTTTCAAATTCTACGTCAACCCAACGGATACTATTTCATCTTTCCACTACGCGTCCTGAAAGGTCATTAACCTCACGCAATTACAACAAAAACCCAAGGGTAAAACCGTCCATCAAAACTACGACGGTTATCTCCAAAAACTCAGCAATAATAGTTTCCCAAAGTAACCTTTCAAATACAAACCATTTTCTATATATAGCATATTCCTCCATCATCCATCTCATGTTGCAATAATCCATCTCATTGACTGTGACCCATCCTCCTCCACTCTATTGACTCTTCACCTACTCTTCTTCTATATATACCTCCCTTCCTTTCCTTGCTTCACACTTATTTCACATTCCTCTCTCAATTGCAAAACTAATTCTTCAATGGCTCAGAAAGATGAAGTCGAAAAGAAAAACGACGTCGTTTTGAAACTCGACTTACATTGTGAAGGATGCGTCAAGAAAATCAAACGCGCTCTTCTCCGTTTCGACGGTACTGATTCAATAATTTCACTACTGAATTCATTTTTTATCTTTGATGATCTGATTGATAATTGATACAGGTGTGGAAGACGTTAAGGCTGATACAGACGGTAACAAACTCACGGTTATCGGAAAAGTTGATCCTAACAAAGTTCGTGATAAACTGGCGGAGAAAATTAAGAAGAACGTTGAGCTTGTCTCCTCTCCGCCTAAAAAAGCCACCGCCTCCGCCGTTGATAAACCACCGCCGGCGAAGAACAAACACGACGAGGAGGAGGAGAAGAAACCCGACGAGAAAAAGGCTGAAGAAAAACCGCCCAAACAGGTTAGGAATTTCGTTGCCGTCTTCAATACGTTGCACAGTGACGAATTTCGAAACTAATTTCATCACGATTGATTCATAATTGACTTTGATTTTCATCTTTTTCGGAGGTGATTAGATTAATTTAGCGGTGACTTGTTCCAACAATTTTATTTGAATCGCTTACTAACCGTTTTACTTTTCAATTTGGTTTTTTATTTTCAGTCGGTTGAAAACACGGTCGTTTTGAAGATTAGATTACACTGTGACGCTTGTATTAAAAAAATTGAAAAGATTATCCTCAAAATCAAAGGTTAGCTAGCCATTACCTATTTTTACCTATATTTTTGGTTTACTAATATCTTAATCTTAACTTAATCAATCAAATAATAATAACTCACATGAATTCACTAGTGTATAAAAAAATCATCAATAAATAAATAATTATTATATCATTGATCATGAAGCACGGACACCAGACACATCATATGATATATCTGATGTAATTAATGAAATAAAATTGTGGTTGCAGGAGTTGAATCAGTGAACATTGATGGAGGAAAAGACTTGGTGACGATAAAAGGAACTACCGATGCTAAGGAAATTGTAGCATATCTGACGGAGAAGCTGAAACGCGATGTGGAAGTGATTCAACCGAAGAAAGAAGAGGATAATAAGAAGAATAAAGAGAAAAAAGAAGAAGGTGGTGGTGGTGAGAAGAAAGAGGGTGGAAAAGCAAAAGTGGAGGTTAATAAAATGGAGCATTACGGTTACGGGCAGCAACCTCCAATGTATTGGTACGACGGATTCGAACCGGGTCAGAGTAGTAGTAATAGGGTGGAAGTTCAGCCAGGAGGGTATTCGTATTCGAATCAACAGGGGCAGAATTATAATTATGCGAATCAAGAAGGGTATAATTACAATTACATGAACATGAACCAGAATCATCAACAACAAGGGTATGATTATAGTTATGGGAATCAAGGGTATATGGTAGAGCCTCAACAACCTCCATTCTATTTGCATCCAAATCATCCTCCTCCACAAATGTTTAGCGATGAAAACCCAAATGCTTGTTCCATGATGTGAGTATTTTTTGTTTTGTTTTGGTGAATGTATGCACGTGCAAGTTGTAAATAACATAAACTAGTATTAGTTTTCTAGTAGTTTATTTTTATTTTAATTAGTTTTTAGGATAATATTTTTATTTTTTATTTTATTAGAAATATATATAGTTGAAACTGTGCTATTGGCGCATGGTTAGTGACGTAGAGGGGGGAGGTACGGCCTGCAAGATGAAGGTTCCAGTTTTGGACTATTAGGGAAAAAGACAAAAATGGGGTAGCTGTTAATTTTGTCTGTTTGCTTATATAAATAATTTTCGGAGCTACATATGGATCATACGCTGTTTCTAGTAATAAACTTGCAACTACTAGTCACATTTTTTATTCTAGAAATGGTACAATTCTTAACTCAGAAATTTATCAACAACCATGACATGAATGATGTGTATAATTATAATTACATAAGTTATAATCCTCTTTGTCCTCACTAATGTGATGATAACTTCATTTGTGCATGTTCTTAAAAAACACTGCTATGCATCCTCAAACTTGTATCTGACTTCATTTTTCATTATTTTCTCAAATTGATAATGTCTCAGGTACAAGAATGAAGAGGAATGATCATAAACTTTCAATTTTAAGGAAAGTGGTATATCTTTATTGTAGCTTTTTAAGAGCTACTAATTGTTCGATTTTTTAGATGTTTTTTATGTACTAATCCACTTTAGTATGAATAGATTGGAGTCATGTTAAAGATCGTTTAGAGGGGTACTTTCTAAAAATACTCTCGTCTTAAAATATAAAAAAGGAAAAAAATATCTTTTTAAAATATAAGAGAAACAATTATTTTTCATTTTTTTCAAAATAAAATTAAATATAATTTACATTTATCTTATTTTCTTTCTCATTATTTCTATAATTAATAATTAATTAATATTGTTTTTATATTTTGTATTATAAATTATTTATTTATTTTCTAAACAATCTTATCACTCAATATATATATATATGATCGTACCTGATCAGAGTTGGACCGTCACAGCTGGCTTTGAATTGGATTTGAAGGAGATGGGAGGTACCTGCAAGACATTCCGATGACAAAATGAGAGACGGAATGAGCAAGTAAGTGTATAGTTATGAATGAATGAATACCTGACCCTCTTGAAATAGAGGGTATTTATAGCCCCCAGCGCTGGGCCAATGTCCCTTTATTGGCTGACCAAACAGGCCCAACAAAGGGACTGTCAGGTTCTACGTGAGTAGTGGAGACCTGCACGTGGTCCCCTACCTGGATGATGCTCTCCGCAGAATATGGAAGGTAAAGACGCGATCTTCCCGAGACCCTGAGGACTCCAAGACATCCAGAGAGGTTGAAAGTCTGCCCTACGAGGAGGGTACTCGAGCAGGGCCTGGATTGGGATGTTCCTCGTCTGGGACGTTCTTCGCGGGCACCGGCGGGCGCGGTCGTATTCGACCAGTCATCCATGATCGGGTGAGTTCGGAGGATACACTGCTCAGCACGATATGTTGGAAAGCTTGGATTGGGCCTCACTGGTGATTGGGCCACGGGCAGGCCCAGTCCAGAACAGGAGGCCCCCAAGTTGTTGCTCCTGGTACGGAAGTTATGACTTGATTCAAGTTTGCTCTTTCGCGAGACTCGCTTGCGCGACACATGGGCTTTCAACCGGGGAGAAGAGACATCGCCCGGTTTGTGATTTTCCCTGTGCAGCGATCGAGGAGTGTTCGAGGAACTTTTTGTGGGGAGGTGGTGACGCGTCAGTTAGACACGTGGTGCGGCTCTTGGAAACCACAATGTCGCCCTAGGGAATAGGGCCATCATTGTCTATGCGAGTAGACGTCGAGGATGGGGTGGTTTGTGGTTCCCCGGCACGACGTTTCATATTCCACGTCATCTCTATAAATAGGGTTCCAGGGCCCATAGTTTTTTTTCACCTCTTCCCGCTTCTCATATTTTCTCTGTTTTCAATCTCGTGAATTTTCCTAGCGTCGCTGAGATCGCTGCGCCGTTAGCCGTCTGATCATCTCCACCACCGTTGTTCTTCATTCTTCTCTCAAGTAAGTGTTTTCTCCTTTTGATATCTCGTGTTGTAGATAAATTTGATGGCATTTTAGTGGTAGAATCTCGTGTCTGGGGATAGTGCCCAATAAATTTAAGCGTGCTAGGCGCCTGATTCATGGTTGTGCCTGAGATATTCATAAGTTTAGGCATACGGTTTATGATCATGCCCGCGATACTCATGCGTTTGGCTAGTAGATTTACGAACCTGGTCGGGAGATTCATCCTTTCGTTAGTATGTAGGCTAGTTTTCCCCGTAGTATTCTTGTACCGACCAACAACATTATAAACTTGGTCGCGGGATTCATCCTTCGCTTGTGATATTCACGCTATGCTCGCGTCGTTCATGATTGATACACATTCGCTGCTGAGGTCGGTGTTTGGTCGAGGTCCACTTGTTTCCTGTTTTTCGTGCGAATGGTCGTAGACTCGGTCTAAGTGTTGCTTACTTCTCCCCGTCTTTGTGGCGGACAAGCGAATTTTCTGTTGAATTCACTGGTTTCCTGTACTTTGCAGGTAAATGGCCGACATACCTGAGTCTTCGGGGCGTAACGATGTCGAGGAAACAAGCACAGCGGAGGAATACACTGATCTAAGGACCACAACGTTAGGATACACTGATCATGAAAATTTTGAAATTTCGTTCATAGGCAATCTAACAGAGCAAGATTGGAGAAAGCCTGTAGTGGACTATCTACAAAATTCAGCGGCTTCGACAGAATGAAAGATAAAGTACAGAGCGCTGAGTTATGTGCTGATGGGAAATGAACTATTTAAGAAAACACCAGAAGGCGTGCTTCTAAAATGCTTAAGTGAAACAAAAGCATATATATCTCTTTCCACCACATACGATGGGGCATGTGGAGCACACCAAGTAGGCCAAAAGATGAAATGGTTATTGTTTTGACAAGGCTTATATTGGCCCACTATGTTAAAGGATTGTGTTGAGTTTGCAAAAGGGTGTCAGGAATGCCAAAAACATACAGGCATTCAACATGTGCCAGCAAACGAACTTCACTCGATTGTGAAACCTTGGCCTTTTAGAGGATGGGCCTTGGATCTCATTGGAGAAATTCGACCAACATCTTCCAAAGGTCAGAAGTATATATTGGTGGGCATTGATTATTTTACTAAGTGGATTGAAGCGATTCCTTTAGTCAATGTAGACCAGGAGAATGTCATTGAATTCGTTCAAAGGAACATCATATATAGATTTGGAATCCCTGAAACAATAACTACATACCAAGGATCAGTCTTCACTGGTCGAAAGATGCAAGAATTCGCTGCAGAGATGGGGTTTAAACTGTTAACATCGACGCCCTATTACGTGCAGGCTAATGGCCAGGTCGAAGCAGCAAATAAAGTAGTGATCAGTTTAATAAAGAAACATGTGGGAAAGAAACCCATAAACTGGCACAAGACACTAGATCAAGTCTTATGGGCGTGTCGAACTTGTCCAAAGGAAGCCACAGGGACAACACCATTTCGCCTAACCTATGGTCATGATGCAGTGTCACCAGTGGAAATCCATCTGCAAGCGACAAGGATTCAGATACACCATGAGATCCCTTCTGAAGTCTATTGGAGCATGATGTTGGATGAACTAGTAGACTTGGACGAAGAAAGGTTGAAAGCTTTAGATCTGTTGAGACTACAGAAGAAGCGAGTCGAGAAATCCTACAATCGAAGGGTAAAGTCCAAGACGTTCCAGCCTGAAGATTTAGTTTGGAAAGTAATACTCCCAATGGGTCGAAAAGACAGAAGCTTGGGAAAATGGTCCCCTATGTGGGAAGGACCTTTTAGGATTGTGCAAGCATTCTCGGGCGGAGCCTATGAGATCGAAGAATTAAGCGAAGATCAAAGACTCTTGAAGGTAAATGGTAAATACTTGAAAACGTATAGACCTATTCTTCAAGAGATAAAAATAAATAATATATAATCACTGATTATAAAGAATGCCAAAATGGAAACTTAAAAAAAATTGCATTAAGTGTGCCAAAATGGCTCTGAAATCGTTACAGAAAGTGATTACATAATTGAGAGAAACAGGATTCAAAAGGGAAGATTGGCTTTAATCTGGAGATACTTGATTCTTTGCAATTCTAGCCGTCGATCACATAGAGCTTTCAATTGGTGAAGGGTTTCAAGCTTAGCATCCAGAGATTGAGCTCGATCAGCATGTCTTAATCCTTCAGCCAATTCTTCTTGGCTTTCTAACTCATTGTTCACAGCAAGAAGCTCCTCTTTCTTTTTGTCGTTGGCAGCCATTTTTGCTTCCAACTCTGCAATCTGTGCTCTCAACTGAACATTGTCTTGATCAATCTCCTCGACTGCTTTTTGTCTAGCCTCCTGGGCCTTCGACAAGTCCTTTACTCTAGAAGCGGATTCAGTAGCAGCATGCCAAGCAGCATCCACTTGACCATTGGCTTCTTTGATCTCACGATTGAGAATTCTCTGACGGTTGTAATCTGCTGATACCTGGTCAACAATAGAGAGTAAATCCAAGATTACACTGGCTACATCCGGAGGAGCAACAAGAAGATCGACAGCTTTCAAGATAGTCTTCAGAAAGGAAGGAGCTGTTGGTTCCCCCTCTAAAGTTATCATCAAATCTCTTTTAAAGATTTGTTCTTTAACTTTCTGAAGAGCCTCGTCGAGAGGGGAAGTCGAAGTAGATCTTCCAGATGTAGTCGAGGCACTGCGATCAGAGGAACTCTCTCGACCCTCTAGAATTGCAGTCAGATAACCTAATGGATTCTATTGTTTTAGTAAGGCCAAGTCCTCTTTGGTTCTGGATCCCGTCGAAGGGATACTTTTGTTGGCTGTAACAACCACGTTGGCCACTTAATTTGGAATTGTTTCGGTGCCTGGAGATTTTGGTTTCCTTCAGCAAAAACTTCTTCACCGTCATCCTCTGGGATTTCTGCATTCTCCCTTTCTATTTTAGT